GCAGTGGGAGGACGGCCCGATTTTGGATCGTTCCCGACGTTTTTCCTACCCTCCATAAACTTCTTAAACCACTCGAAAACTTGCGTGCGAGATAGACACTGATCACCATATACTTCTGTCAACAAATTGTAAGTTTCAGTGGCAGATTTTCCAAGTTTTGTGAGGAATTTGATGTTAGCACGTTGTTCTGCATTAGCACTCAGCATTATTCCGACGGAGCTCAGAAACACGATCCGCTTCTAACAATGGTCGCGGCCAGACTAACCGATGCACGTGAATGAAACTTTGTGTGACGGTAGAGGGAAGTCCAAGGGTCAATGCCCTACCCTCCTCTTCGTCAATGACGTGGCCGGAAATGAGTCATAAAAGTAATCCGGGTTCTTTATTGCCACACCTTGTAATTAAGAAAAAACACAATGTTTTGGAAACTGGTTCTGTTTCCGTCCTCAGGTGAGGGACAACACCTACTCTATTGGGTCCCTTAGAAAGAGCTAGCCTCAATCACTGGACGACTAGCTAGTTCTTTCTAAGTGACCCAACAGAGTAGGTGTCTTCCCTCACCTGAGGACGGAAACAGATCCAGTTTCCGAAACGTTGTGTTTTTTCTTAGTTATTTAGAATCTGGATGATGGACAAAGTTCAGAAAACCCAGTATCTCTGTTTAGAGTCCAGAAGTTTTGCTCAATATATTTATTTGGAAAATATATAAATTATGTTTAAAGATAGTTACTATAGGATTCTGACGATGGTGTATAACACACTGATATATTGGATTTTTGGACTTTATCCATCGTCCTGGTTTTTAAGATAACTAATAAAAACACGACGTTTCAGAAACTGGATCTGTTTCCGTCCTCAGGTGAAGGAAAACACCTATTCTGTTGGGTCCGTTAGAAAGAGCTAGCTAGGTTACACTATCATTGGCATAAGAAGACTTCCAACTATATGAAGTCAATCAACTGGAGGAATTTCTCAAGTCATCTGTAAATATTTCCGACCAACAGCGTATCTTTACCGCTGTGGAAAGTTCATTCAAGAAAATCTTCAAGGTCCAGTGATTGAGGCTAGCTCTTTCTAACGGACCCAACAGAATGGGTGTTTTCCTTCACCTGAGGACGGAAACAGATCCAGTTTCCGAAACGTCGTGTTTTTATTAGTTATCTTAAAAACCAGGACGATGGATAAAGTCCAAAAATCCAATATATCAGTATGTTTAAAGATGTACTTTTGTCAAACACCTATGTATGCAGTACTTGGTGATGTTGGGGTTATGGCAAAAATTTGTATTAATAGATGACAATTATTGTAACAGACAAATTCAGAAATGTAGAAAACAAAATTATATTTATAGCTTAATGTATTCATGAACAACATACAGCTTTTCTACTGCTGCCACATACCTCAGTGTGGTTTCCCAAACTTTTAACCACAACAAACTGATCTCCTCATTCAACTGGACATGGTTCATAATCTTCTCCACTTTAAGCAATGACTCACAGCATCTGAGAAACCATAAATGAAAAACTGTACAAAATGGCTGCTATGGAACATCCAACTTCACGGAAAAGTCTTACTTGAGAAGCTATGAGTCACTCGGCTACTCAAAATATTCTGTTTTATAGAACTCAAAGGTCTATTACAGTGTTTACAACAACCTGGCACTACTTCTTTTGGCTCTTCAATGTGGGTTGGTAGAAAGTAGAATTCATGTTGGTACAAAACTGCTTAAGTTACAGACTTAGTAAACAGCCAATGTAAAAGATACTGGGGTACAGAGAATTCTCATGCTGTTCATGAAGTGTCACTGAATGATGGAAAAGTTGGCAGTTTAATGTGCAATGTGTGCATAAAGGATAACTGGGATGGTATTTTTTCACAAAACAGTAAATTCCAAACATTATATCAGACTGATTCTGCCACCCAGCTTTTATCAACTGACTGATAAAGAAAAATCATACGATAATTTTATGTATAATAATGCCACAACATACACTGCAATTAATTTTCTGGACGTACTAGCTTAAGTCTTCAATGAACAAGTCATAAGTTGAAAGATTGTGGCCTCCCAAGACCACCTGGTTTAAATTTCTGTGACTTTTATTTGTGGGGCACACTGGAAGAAAAACTGTATGCAAATAATCTGTACTATATGGAAGAACTTCATGAAAATATTACATATGAAATTTCTATTATTCCTGTACAACAGTTCTGATATGCATCTACACATATATTCTCAAAACATGAGACATGTTTGGAAGCAGAGGATCTTCAGTTTGATACTATCAAGACAGGCATATGCCAGAAAAATGATGTGCCTGCTATGTGAACCACTCTAACAATAAACTCTACATTCTGTCTTAAAGCAATTAAAACTATACACGAGCAGAGGAATATCCTACACGAAATAAGAAAACAGAAGGCTAATTGGATTGGTCATCTTTTACGCAGAAACAGCCTTCTAAAAGAAGTTACTGAAGGAAAGATAGAGGGGCGGATAGAAGTGACAAGAAGACGAGGAAGAAGATGTAAGAAGATGCTGGATGACCTTGGGGACAGAAGAGGATACTGTCATTTGAAGGAGAAAGCTCTAGATTGCATTAAGTGGAGGAACTGTTTTGGAAGAGACTGTGGACCTGTCGTCTTGACAGATTACTGATGATGATGATATAATCCACTGTTTTCTTAATCTGAGGTATAGAGTAAAGATCCCAGGCATTCAAAAGCAAAGTCCCAAAAATGAATAAATCAAGGCTTCCAAAGGCAATGAAAAAAATGGGAAAGGAGAAAATTACTCAAAGTGGAAATTCATAGTATTTATTCTTCATCTAATATTACTAGAGTCATTACATGATGTTGCGATGGATCATATACCATAGGTGTATCACATACAGAAGAAATTAATAAAAGGTTTTGTTTGAAAGATCTCCCTGAAAAATATCACTTTGTGACAAATGCTGCATGGGAAAATTATATCAAAATCAATCTTGGGGAGGGGGCATGCGGTAGCGTAGTTGGTTGAGGCATTATGCTACAAGCTGGAAGGTCATGGGTTCAAGTCCTTATGAGGTCACGGAATTTTTTTCAATTGACCTAATCCTTCCAGCCACACTATGGCCCTGGGGTCAACTCTGCCTCTAATATAAATGAGTACCAGGAATATTCTTGGGGCAAAGGGTGGCTGGCATATAGGGTTGACAACCTTGCTGCCATCCATGAGCTGATTGTCTATAAACGTAAAATGTGGGAACCTCAACATATCACAACCCTATGAGCCTCCATGGCCTGTTACAAGGATACCTTTACCTTTTTCTTTTACTTTTACAGTCTTGGGGAAACAAGTTGCAAGGTTGTGAACTGACATGATACGATGATTGGGTCTTGTGATTACAAATGATAGGGTTCCATGATGATACAGATTTACAAAATTGTGTAGAAATACAGCTGAGTAACTATAGCTTTCTCTTGGATGTTAATCAAGGCATATTAATATTGAAAATACTGTAAGTTTTCTGCTTGTAAAATTGTTATTTAGTAACAGTGTCTTACAGAAAATACATGCAAATTTATCATTAAATATTCCATACATTTCCTTCACAACTTTGAGAAAGGAGGCAGATCAGACTGCATAACTAACATTCAAGTATTCAGGACTGCAAAGATTCCAACTTGGAAGTAATTCACTTATTTTCTGGTAATGTTAACTGTTAAATCAATTTCCCCCCACATTTGTACTTCTTGGAAGAATCTGTGTCTAAACGGAACTTCAGAAATAAATGTCCAAAATGTCTCCCATTATATAAATGTATTGTAGCGTGTTCTGTTTGTCATGCTACAAATAAATCCACGCCGTTGTCCGATATAGCGAATTTATTCTGCTCGCTCGCCTTACACACACTTTACAAACATTTGCCCTTACAGTGTTACAATCACTGCTTACAATATCTCGGCAACACTGGACTGTCTTCTCCGGCGGTTTCTAGCAGACTCTCTTCTTAGGCAGCTGGATGACGACTCACTTCTTAGACGGCTGCTATCCCAAGACTGACTGTGCGAATGCATTCAACCCCGCTATATAACCTTGGTCGCTGCTATGCAACGAACTCTCTGTTATAGCGGTGGAAACGTTGCTCTGTTGGTTCCGCATTTCCTACCCAATGACCCATTGTTATTGCGTTGTCTCTGTGGGAACGCTTCGCGTATTCGTCGTAACCGTGGAGATTCGATGTTCTCTACACAACGGCTCACTGTTGGGATTACAGTGCCGCTATTGTTACTTCCTATGCAATGGTCTATTCTAGTGTTTCCATGGAAGTGACTCTTCTGGATTCCAGACACGTTACAATATTAACTTTCAGCAATATATAGATTCAGTATTGTTTCATATACAAAATGTATGTAAACCGTGTAATGAAAAACTAAGAAGTAATATTTAATGTAAAATATAACATAAAATACTTACTGACATAAGTATCCCATTACAATGGCATCTTTGCAAGTGCTCTGTAGCTCTGCTACTAGGCGTACCAATGCAATAAAATCCTGTTCCTTCAAAATATTTGGATACTTGGAGTAGAGGGAACTCATTACAGAGAGCCTGTTACATGCAACAGTTGTATCAGATTATAACACAGAGGTTCCCAAACTCTAAGATTTGAAAAATACTTTCTCATAAAATATTGGTAACATGACAGCTGACAGCCAGAATAGTAGAAAAAAAAAGAGGCCATTACTAGGTAACATCTTGGTAAATATGCTCCCATAGCAATGGATACACACACAACAATGAAAGAACTGTCTGATGTGGTGTTACCTGTGTGGTCTGCACTGAGGCTACATAGCGAGGACCATCAGGAAAAATTAGTCAGTCATGAGTCAAAAGTCAACACACAGTCAAGAATTAATTGGAGGCCAGAGATGCCAGTTGGTGAATGAGTTCAATGTAGTGATCCACAGAATGTAAATCAATGAAAGTGTTACAATTATTTGTAGCTATGAGTTATAAGTGTTCAATAAATCCAATTATCATTCCAAACCTCGTGTCCAGTCACTAACAAGCGACACCATGTTATAATAAACAGTGTGCCAATATTATTTTAAGGTAAAATAACAAAAACAATAATTTAACTGGTGCTACTCTGTTCCAAAAAAAAAAAATCTTTTTAGTCCCTTGGAGTAGAACAGTTTAAATTACATTATCTTCCTTTCTCTCCAGAAGGGAAATGACTTACAAAATATCACATGAATATTTAACGTCATGGGAAGAGACGAAGAGGAGCAGTGTCTGGAAGGAGAAAAAGGACCACAGAATGCTATATAATGAATAATGCACAGCATTTAATACAGAAAGCATTTAGTGACTGTAACAGTACAGAGTTATGCATCAGGGTTATTTACATGAAACCAGTCTTAGGATTGTTCTGGATGAAGGAGCAGGGTTTTTAAATAGTCCCAAGGGCCCTGAGGCAGGCATCCCATTGGCATATCAGAAAATATGTCCCACCCTACAAAAAATTCAATGGGTTGCTGCTGGAACTACTGCACCATCATGGTGATTTCTTTGTCTGACCAAAGTCTACATGCAAACAGGTTTCATACAGCATACAGTACCCACAAAAAGGACTATCACATAACATAATCACAATATTCATGTTGTAAATTTCACAATTCTTATATTTTATCTTGTTAACAACATAAATGAAATTTTGTTAGTATACTGTAGGAATTGACAGATGACCAAACCTGTGAAAGGTGCCTACAAGAAGACGAATCAGCCATACGCATTTCATGTGACTGTGAGGCCATAGCTTATTTAAGATTTCATCACCTGAACCAGCTCTTTATGGAACCAAGTAACTTTTATGATGCCCCCATAAATAAAGCCCTACATTTCATTTGAAGTGTAAGATTAATCCAAAGGGGAAGCACAATAGAGCATTGAAGGTCACAGTGCAAGGGCTGGATTTTATGGCCCCCCCTTACACATACTACTACTATTACTACTAGTATACTGTTCACTGTATTCTAAACTATACTATGTTACACAATAGAAAAAATGCCTACCAAGGCCAAAGGTCTTGTGTTTTCCCTGGTGTGCTCAAGACTTCTATGATGGCCTGGATTCCTGATACAACTCGTCTCCTTTTTGGCACAGAATAGGAAATATTCTCAATGAGGGCATATGCATTTGTTACATCCAATACATTGCTGCTATCATCAAATACCTGTAAATAAAAACACATACTGCAAAACCATTTACATTATCAGGTGGGGTAGGTACGTTTCTAGTCAAATAGTAATCAGCAGACAAGATGCTTGGTGCACTTCAGAGTTGGTCTGTATCCCACCTTGCCTTCCTCTAGGGCTTCACTTCCTTAAACACAAAGTGGATATAGCAAAAGTTGACCACACACTTACAACTATTGCAAGGGGCTAGAATTTGCAGAGCTTTACTTCCACATCCCATATACAGTGTTATTAAAAAAGAATGAACCAATTTTATTAAAGGAAAGTAATACAAAACCCCAGTCAAGTCACAAGTATTCTACTCACAATCAACTTTTATTTCCTATGTTACAAGTGTTCAATGTGGGCACCACCTGCAGCACGGGCAACATCAATGCGATAAGAGAATTCCTCCCAGGCGCGTATCAGCATATCACGATGCACTGAGTTAATCGCTGTTGTTATTCGATGTTTAACGTCATCGAGGTTAGTGGGTAGCGGTGGAACATAAATGTGATCTTTTACATATCCCCACAAGAAGAAATCACACACGGTGAGGTCTGGGGATCTCGCAGGCCAAGCACAAAGAGCAAGGTCTTTGGCCCCCTTCCAACCAATCCATCACTGGGGCACTTTTTCATTTAAAAAAGCTCAGACCATCAGGTGCCAATGGGGCAGTGCTCCATCTTGTTGAAAAATGAAGTCATGCGAATCTGCTTGCAGTGAAGTGAAGAGCCACTTTTGGAGCATATCGAGATAGGTTTGTCCTGTAATGGTGTTTCCTTCAAAGAAAAAGGGACCATAAACCTTGTTCTGAGACACAGCACAGAAGACGTACACCTTAGGGGAACCTCTTTCGTGCTCAACTGTTTCATGTAGGTGCTCTGTTCCCCAAATACGCACATTGTGACGACTGACTGTGCCACTCAAGTGAAAAGTCGCTTCATCACTAAAAATTAAACAGAAATGAAGGTTTTGTCTTCCATCATCTCCAGCATTGAATTGCAAAATTCCATCCGCTTCCTTCTGTCATCATTGGCAAGTGCCTGAACGAGCTGCAGTCTGTATGGTTTCAAATGTAGACATACTGTTAGCACAAGCCAGACAGTGGATTGAGGGATCGCAAGCTCATGGCTAGCTCGATTTGTTGACTTCTACGGGCTCCTCTCAAACGCAGCACGGATTCTTGCCACTTGTTCCTCCGAGAATCGTGGTCGTCCTGGACTTTTTCCTTTATACGGACACCCACTCTCTTGAAACTGTCAAAACCACCGTCGAATGTTCCTAGGACAGGGCAGATTAATGCCAAATTGCCTTCGAAAAGCACGCTGCACTGTGACAACCGAATCTGTTTTCACAAACTCAAGAACGCAGAATGCCTTTTGCTGAGGACTCGCCATTCCGAGGGTAAACGAACAACTGAATGTTGTCGGAAGAACAACATGACTTCAGTGCACCTGTGGCAGCCATTCACAGCTTAGATAACTCCTCTTTCAAATGGTCACTGACTCATTCCATGATGATGCTTGAGAACTGAAGCAATGCATCATGAAATTGGTTCATTCTTTTTTAATAACCCTGTATGTCTACATGGCATGGTGCTTATACACAAGAAGTAACTTTATACCTCACTATCATTTTTAAATGTTTAACCTTTATTATGTGGGAAAAGGGATTTTAAATCTGTTTTTAGAGGGCTGACAACCACATTTTAATTCAGGTATAATGGTATTTATTTTGAAAAGAATGCAATGCCTGACCATCCAGACAATGCATATACACTGTGATATTAATGTAACATATGACTAACAGAGACTATAATGTCTCTTGAAATTAAAGACAATGTGAACTGGTATTACTTCAACACCTCAGTACTACGGTATTTGTGAACCATAACTGCTGACAAGTTTGGAAACTGTAACTATCTTTTAGTATGCCTTGAGCTTATACCTGCTTGCAGACTTCAACAGCCAACTGCAAGAAGTTTTCCCTGAGCACCTGTACCTTGCACCTGTTGCGTTGAATATTGTGTATTTCTGTGTCTACCAAGACATACAGAGACTTCAATTGGCTTCGCCATTTTTCCCAACTATAGGCATATGCTGCACCCTCACCTTCTTTTGTGCCATAGGGGTGGTGAAGATGCATTTGAAGTAAGAGGAAGTCAAACATCAAACCCTAGATGAGATTACAAATTTACTAGTTACTGTGATACAACAAATGTTTCCAGGCTTTTACTAGACAATGACATTGTAAAAAAGGCTAAGGATACAACACTCACTATCCAAGTAATATGAATTAAAATTCACCACACAAAATGACAGTAAATCCACAACGAAAATCTCATCACCAAGGAGCTTAATATAAAGAGACATCTGGATATCTAGTATTTCTACTGTGCTTAATTTCATTTTTATATTTCACTTATAATCACCAATGCAACACATTTATTCCCACTCATTACAGCCAATGGAAACAACTGAATATTAATATGCTTCAAATTAATACATCAACAGAGAACCAAATAACAAATTAAGTATCCCTTCATGTGGAGCTTACCTTCTTATCATAACGATCTTCTTGTCTGTTCTCATACAAGCCAATAACACGTGTGATAATATCTTCTCCAAATTTACATGTTGCCATTCTATTCTCCTTTGCTAGCTGTTAAGAGAATGTGAATGCTTCAATGCTAAAATAAAATCATCTTTTGGGAGCTGGCTCTACTCCCATCAGTGTAATGATGTCATTTGAAGATAGGAGGATAGCCAAATCCCGAAACATAACACATATCAAATGTACCTCAAGCAGTGGATAATGCACAACATAATATTCTTATATTTATCAAAATCATCAGCACACAAAAAAATTCACTCTTAACATATTCTGTGTAGTAATACTAGCAGAGGAAGTACTGGTATGACTACTGGCTTCTAATTTATGTATATTACCTGCTGGGAAACTGTTACTGCAAGTTTAAGGACAGATGCTTGTAACGCTGGCAATTTGTCAAGGTTGGAATCCTCAAATGCTCGAACAAGATTAGGATACCTGTAAAATTATGAATATCAGTAAAACACTTCAGAATTATAAGTTATGTACATATACAAGCTCCTTTCTGTGATGTTATAATTTCATGGAGAAAACATTTTTTGATTCCAATCTGAACTGCTTTAGCATGCCAGATTCATAAGCTGATATTTCTAAAATTCACCCTTGAACCATAACCCAATTAGTTGGTGTTTCAAATTTTACACCTTACTCATGCATTGATTGCCTATAAATGATGACAAAGATAACAGCAAAGGGTCTCAAATCTTCCTCATCTGTATCATGGAAAATAAAAGAAATGGACACTATTATTTGCATATATATTACATTTAACTTTCCAGGTCAAGTTGACTTTGGTTTCTTCAGTCACAAAACCCAGAAAAACAGTTTTAAAAATCAGCTATATGAAGATTAAAAAATAAAAGAAAACAGGCATAACTGATAACAGTTCTGTAAAACTCTAAAATGTTGTGATGTACTGTAAACTGCATTACAAAATTGGACTACATTTTGCATGTTATACAAGCACTTGAAGAGATTATTTATTTATTTTACTTATTTTGAGGATTCAGCTTCACATAGTTAGTTAGCTATTCAATACACAATTAATGCAATATTTACACAACATATACGATCACTGTTCACTGAAAATGTATGTAACTACACCCTGGCCAAGGGGCATGCTATTAATCTATTAGCCTTTGCAAGTGTTAAAGAGGAATTTATATTCATTTTACATCATACATTAACTACAAATTACAAAATTTGAAGCACACTAAAATAAAATTTCTATACCTGTCTCCACACTCCTGAAAACACAATAATGACAGTTCCACACATACAGAGACTACAGAAATACAATTCAAATTCATAAGACAGTCATGGATAAACAAATGACACAATAATTGAATGATCATCATGAAACACAACATTAATTTGTAACTGGTAGTCTGCAGGTCACCACCACAGCAGGAAGAAATACTATTCTAAAACTAGTGACACTTTCATGTCTCATTTCATTTCGATAACAACACATTTTTTTGTTTAACATTAGTACTTTCTCCCTCTCTATCTTTTACAGCATTTGATAGTTGTGAAGAAGAGAGAATAGAATTTTGGGGTTAGTCACTATTCCATTCATAAATGTAGTGCTAGAAAAGCATTACACACTACAGATCCTTGGAAGACAGATGCCAGCCAACTTCTTTCACACGCTATTGTACATAAATTTTAGTTGTGAATGTTGAGTGTAGATTATTATGACATCATTTGGATTTTAATACCACTTAGCTTTTATTGTCTAGGAAGAGGGTATTTTGAATAGCAGCTACACTTCAACTTGGCAGTAACAGCATTAGTATTAAAGAAATACAAGTTTGTTTATTCATTCTGTAACCAATGTCTAATAACAATGGCTTCTAAAGCATTATGGGCAGAATCAGGAAATCCAAGCATGTCTTAGGCTTTTATATACTAGTACAAGATGGTTTATTTCTATTCGACTGTCCATACTTAAGTTTCATGCAAAGCACATACTACTAGGTGGTTCAAATATGACCGGGACTGATTTTTTTGTAAACAAGCCACACTGCGCAGCAGCTATGCAACCTTGAGAGAGTGAAGCCACAATCTCCATCCTCCCTCCTGTTAGGGTTAGAATCTGTTCAGTCCTGTCTGGAAGTTGCTAGAGTGATGAGTGAACACAAGGTACCACAGAGCGTGGAACAACGCATTGTGATCAAATTCCTCGTTGGAGAAAACATCCCGTCCGCTGAAATTCACCACAGACTCCAACAACGGTATGGGGAAGAGTGTCTCTCATGGACCCATGTGTTTGAGTGGTGTAAGTGCTTCAGAGAGGACAGAGAGCGCGTGGAGAATTAACCGCATGATCATCGGCCGCGAACATCCGTCACCAAGCCAAACATTGATCGTGCAGACGCACTTATTCGTGAGAATAGGCGCATCACTATCAAGGAACTTGGAGCAATGCTGTACATCAGTGTTGGCAGTGTAGAAGACATCATGAAATACCACCTGCACTATCGCAAGGTGACTGCATGGTGGGTACCACGCACTTTGACGGACATGAACAAAATGGTGTGCAGGCAAGCTGCCAGTCATCTTCTACAGGAGTTTGAAGATGAAGGTGGTGCATTTTTGAAGTCTACAGTGACCACCGATGAAACGTGGGTGCACTACTTCATTCCCGAGTCCCAGCAGTCATCAGGCAAGTGGCGGCATACCAGTTCTCCCAAACCCAAGAGAGCGCAGAGGAGCCGTTTGGCAGGAAAAGTGATGGCAACATTCTTCTGGGACTGGCAGGGGGTTATCCATGTAGACTTTCTGACAGATGCCAGAATAGTCAATGCAGCTTATTACTCAGACCTTCTGGCAACATATGTGAAGGAAAAGATCCAATCCAAGTGGAAGACAGGTGAAAAGTGGGTAGCCTTCCTTCAAGACAATGCATGCACCCATACGGCCAAAACTACAATGGAAACCCTCCGGAAATTGAAATGGAACCTTCTGACATATCTGCCGTACAGTCCAGATTTGGCCCCAAGTGATTTCTACCTGTTTGGAAGGCTCAAATCAAACTTGCAAGGCATGCGGTTTGTGGACGACGTCGTCATCCAGACTGTTCAGGAGTGGATACACTGCCAACCATAAGACTTTTTTCAAGAGGGCATCAGGATGCTTCCAGAAAGTTGGAAAAAATGTGAACTCCAGAGGGGAGTACATTGAAGACTGACACGTGCAAGTGAGTGCTTGGAAATTATGGGGTTTAAAAAAAAATCAGTCCCAGTCATATTTGAACCACCTTGTGTATATCTAGTCCAGACTCCTGAACTCTACTACTAAATGCTAAGAACTGCTGCAGAGTCTATTGAAATTTCTAAATACCAACTCAATAATATTACAGATTCAAAGACTGCTAACCCTTAAGATTTTTGGCACTGAAAGACCTACATATATAGATATTAATGGAGCCTTTACATGGCTGTGTTCATGTATTCCCATTTAACCCATGTACTATTAAATCTCTTAAACTTGGATTTAAATAATGTGCCTTTCTCAAGGAAACTAACTTTCATATTGGAAGAGGGTATGCTGCACAAGCTATAACTTAATTATATACATAATTATTTAATTAATTATATATACAACGAAAAAGCCCAAGCTATAAGTTCATATTCATACACAGATAAGCAATATTATTTTTAACTTAACATGTAAACAAATAAAAATAAAATAATTTTTGAAATTACATTTTCATATAATCATCAATATTATTTAATTCATTTTATGCTTGCTGTATCAAACTGTCAATAACAATCAACATCCCTAACGTAAGACAACATACTTCTTTCTAAGCTGAAGTCCCAAATGTGACTGAAGAGTGCCACACTTAACAATCCAATATAATATTTCTCCCATTGTAGCCTTATCCAAACCTGTAGGTGGCTTCTCATACAACATAAAACACATATCCAACAGCTCTGTAAAATGTAAAATATAAATAAATTAAATATACATGTTTATACACACACACAACTGATTCTACCACATTAAGAATTAAATTCTAAATGCAATCTAAGTAGTGTAATGATTTGCTCCAAACTGTTCAAGAAGCTGAAGTGGTGTTGTCTGCAGATGACACAAATATATTACTCATAGGGAAAAATCTCACATCTTTAAAAGGGATAATTTTCAAAGTTTTGAAACAATTTGAAAATTGGTTCTTGACAAATAATCTTACAATAAATATGGAAAAGACAAAAGTAATATTATTTCAGGGAAATGGATCTACTTTAATTCATAGACCCATTCTGTATTTAGATAACAAAGAAATAACTTACTTATCAAATTTTAAATTTTTAGGTATTTATATCAAAGGAAACTTAAGCTTGGCCATTCATATACAATACCTTTGTCAAAAATTAAACAAAGCTCTTTATTTGATAAAATGTACCTGTATAAGAAATATTTATTTTACAAAATTTGAATCTGTACTAAAATATGGTATTATATTTTGAGGGGAGTAAATGACAGTAATGCAGTATTCAAAATACAGAAAAAAGATCTAAAATTAAAAATGTATTGTAGAAGTTTGGTGATTTTAAGATTTTAACCATAACTTCATTATATATGAGATCTTGTGCTTTATAAAAAAGAATAACATCTATACGACTCAATATTCCGATATTCATAACTACGACACAAAAGGGAAACGTTTTGAGATACTGCAGTTCAGTTCCTACAAGAAATATCACATTTCATTCCATGCAACATGTAGGGATTGATTTTTTATACAATGTCTTTGATGGCTCCCTTTCATTCAAGCAAAAACACATGACTTCATTCACCACTTTATTGGAAATACCCAACACATTGCTGCATAAATCCGGGATTTCCACCTACCCCAAAAATAATGTTTCCTGGTACTCTCATGCTTAGTTTTACCCTCAAGGCTCAAACATACAATATGCTGGCAGAAGTATGACTTTTGATAAGTTTGCTAGTAAGCATTAATTGTTTGCTGGCATGAGCACCGGCTGAAGGAAAGCACTGGATATACCCAAAAGCTTTCTCCTCATCCCAGAAACTGCCAAGAAATAGCAAGAGAATATTATTATAACATGCCATTCAAGATACTAGTAACCATTTTCTAAAAGAAAACTGCTATTATAATCCATGTACCACAAACAATACATAAGACCCACAGAAGCAGCTGACAGATGTCCTGCTCTATAGTACAGGCAGAACTCCCATATCATACCAATGAAAAACTGTGGTACACAATGAAGTAACATCGTGAAAAGCATATCACAAAAGTCTGAGAGACTTGCTCTCATTTCAACCACTTCTGAAGACTTACAGGACCATTCTGAAAAAGTGCCTTCTCAAGCTTCATGCTGCCTGATGGACTGCAGCATTATGATATGTTTGAGTCTGCATTGTCTACAACAAGCAATGGTGAAACTAGTAACTGGTAACGGTCTAACAGCATGCAATTATACTCTGAATTTATTTGCCCAGATCTATTGGCTCAATCCACCTCAAAACCTATCTACTGACCCTTGTATACTGTATCACATCCCTAGTTAAATACCATCATACGTAGCTGATTCCAAAAGTAAGGTCTCCAAAGCGCTGGGTAATTTTTCGTGCGGCTGTTGGCAACCCTGTTGCATTCGTTGCTTCCCACACTCCCCCCAAACCACCAAGCATGCGCGCACATAGCTAGGACGCTCAGTCTTGGCACGGTTGCCGTTAGAAATGGAGCTCCCGATTACTAAAACCGCGAAGTGTGAGATTCGCGCAGTTATTCGGTTTTTGAACGCAAAAGGGACTAAATCAATTGAAATTCATCGTCAATTGGTGGAAGTGTATGGCGAGTCATGCATGGACATAAAGAACGTCCGCAAGTGGTGTAGGGAATTTGAATCTGGTCGTACTGCAATACACGACGAAAAAAGAACTGGGAGACCGTCAATTTCTGAC